CCGCTGGCTGCCCCAAGAGCCCAGAGGCTTTGGCTGGTGGTCCGGTGTCGGAGGCGCAGGCCGAGGTGACAGGCCCGCCTCCCTAGGCAGAGGCGCAGAGGCCCTCGCCCGACACCTTAGTCCAGCAGTGATGCCCTGCGCAGGCCTGCCAGCCGGGACACGCCACTCTCACCTCAGGGCTGACCCCAGCGCTAGCTGGGGAATCGGCACAGGCAGCCCAGCTTGTACCTGGGCCAAAAATAGGTGTACCGTCTTGCTAGTTAACGCCTTCAACTTGTTCATGATGTCTTACAAAATACAGCTGGGGATCGCTTGTGGTCATTTAAGTGCTTGAAGACTTGTTCCTTGCTTCTGCTATAGCTGAAGGCAACGCTAATCAGAAAGATGTTACGAATTGAGTTGGGCTAGATGCTTCTAAGGAGGAGTGCTTTGCCATGGATCCTGCTTTGCCATTGCTGAACGGAGGTTCAGCCTGTGTTTCATTTAGTTCTGGTCAGTACTTCCATTGTATTATAATTAACGATTAGTTCAGTAAACATGGGTTGAGCAGTTCCTTTGAGGAGAGCGGAAGGAACTCCTTTTCCTCTAAATTGTATGCAAAATTTGGAGGGTTGAAAGAGAGCTGACGGACTTGCTTGACCACATTCTGATACGTTTTTTTAATGTGAGGAAATTGAAGTACCTTTTACACAGAATCAAAAGCCACACAGCAGGTCTGGTGGCCTGTGTCCCACGGAGGATTTCAGGGGGTGGACCAACACATTTGGCACCCTCCCTTTGGATTTTTACACTTGTAGGTGTGCAGAGTTTCAAGTGGGGGAGTCATTGATATGTGAAATAGTTTGTGGATCTGATTCCTACTCTTAAAACCTATGAGGAGAGATGATACATGTTAAGACGCAGCAGGTGGTCTTTTTTTCAGAGTAACTTCTTAAGTGAGCAATCTGACTTTTAAAGCATTGGAGTGCTACTGGATGAAAATAAACTAAAAATATTTCTATTAAAAAGTATTCTTACTTGGTGACAAGATGGCATGATGGTTCTACCACATATGAGTGATACATGATATGACTGACATGTGTCATCTAAGATAGCCAAAAACCAGAAAATATCTTGAAAAAATATCAAAGATGCAGTGCCCAAGAACTGATAAAAGAAACTAGAAACTAGAAGAAAGAAATTTGTCTGGACCTGGGTAAGCTACAGCTCCTGCCTAGCTTGTATGGGAAACAACTCTGAGCAAATAATCCCGATGAGGAAACAAAAGATTGTGCTACACCTCCCACCTGATGATTTGGCAGAGCACTGCTGCTGCAGTATTTAAACACAGCTAGGCTGAAAGCTTGTCGTCGGGAGAATCCTGGCTTCAGCAGCAGCGGGGTGTTACAGTTTGCTGTTGGGAAGGCGAAGGAGTTGTAACAACATGGAGAAATGGAAGGGTGGTCAGGTCCTTACTGTCGGTCTTTATGCCCACGTATGGGTTGCTCCGAGATAGTTCATCAGGAGCATGAGCTACTGGAATTACTTAGAAAGTCCAGCAGGTGCATCCTTAAAGTGTGGGTCTGTGCAAACAACACAGGGAAATTTCTAGCTGATGAGACTTTTGTTGATGTATACCAAAATAAAGCCTTCCTACTTTTTCAAGGGTTTCACTTTCCATTGCGTCTTTTAATCGTTTAAATAGCTTCATATCAATATGATTTTTTTTTCTGTTATTTATACTTAAATAGAAAATCCTTTTTGTGTGGATTGTTAAGAACCAAAGTAACTGCTACTACAGGTTTTGGCATTTGTTCCACTTCCTATTTTGGTTTATGACAGTCTTAAACCTTACCATAACAATAAATACACACAGCACACGATCGTTGTTTTCTCAGTCGGTTCTCTCTGCTTCCAGTCTCCAGGACTGCCGTGTAGAGTATCTGGTGTTGACAATGCATTGCAAAACACTACTCTGTGTTATAATTAGACTTGTTGAGGTAAGCTTGAAAATTTTTAAGGTCTTGTTTTAAAGCACTTCTGAAATGTGAGAGTTTTTAAAAGACGCAAGTTTTAATCTAGCTTATACTTTTTTTTTGCTCACACAATGTTTTCTTAAATCTGTATTTTGAAGTAAAATCTGTAACCGATTACATTTTTTTATTTAAAAATATTAAAGCATGCATTTTTGACAGGTTTTTTTCACAGCTTTTTGTAACTTGTTATTAAAAAGATGTAGAGCTTATTTACTGTAAATAAGGCAGGAGAGAAAGGTGATGATACCAAACTTGGTAATTTCAGGTGTGTTAATTTCTCTTTAGGTTCCAAACTTGATCATCTTTTTCAGTGTACAACAAGCAAGTGTAAACACTTGACTTAAAGCTTCATTGGGTTCTTTACAGAACCAAGTGATCCAGCAGCGAGCATGTTTGATTTTTACACAAATGTTAGTACTTGAGTCATGCAAGATGCTTCCGTATCATCACGTTCAGTCAATTCATAAATTATATTAGGACGGTCAAAAAATATAAAACCGCAGCTTAAGAAAAAAAGTTCTAGCGTCCTCTTTTTGTGTTCAGTAGCCGCCTTCCACCATTACCTTCACAGAGACTTTGGTTGAAGGAAAGATAATGACCTACTGTTTACCTTTTAAAATTAAATTTCTTAGGTCACAGCAGGGCAAATAAAAGGGGACTTTAACCAGCAATATCAGTTGGATCTCTACACAGTCAGAAAACTTTCTCTGGCAGCGACTATTACCTATTGTTACTGGTAGTTATTCTTTGTTCGTGTACCCTTGTGGACGAAGGTCAGCTGCAACCCACATGCAAATAATCCATTACTTGTTTCATCCATAAGCCTGTATTCTGTCAAATATTTATTTTAATCTTTCTTATCTGTACTCTTGCTTACACACAGATGTGCGAAAACAATATTGAAAACGTAGGACAATCATCTTAGCCAGAAAAGACCTTCAGTTACAAAGCATGAGGACAAGCCTAGAAATTCTTTCTTGCAGGTAAGCTGCCTCGATGGAACTCGTCCATTGAATGACTTGCTCAGTGTAAGTATTAGAGATTGCTCAGCAACATGTTCTAGACAGTATTTTTAAAGATGATCAGTTTGCCAAAAATGCCAAAAGTGCTGCTGGGAGGTAGGACTGGTCTGAAATATTTAACCCCCCAAAAAACCCTGCGCATCTTATTGCAGTTGTACATAGTTCTTGAGCATACGAAATAACATACGAAGAGAGCACTGGGAGGAAGATACTAGGAAAGCATGAAGCAAGAAAGGGGGCGTGTTTGCAAGTAGGTCCCAAGGCAGTGGAAGTTCGTGACATTTTCAGTGATTAGGTATTTTGATTTTTTTTTTTTTGAGGAGCAGTTAATGCACTACCTCATCATAAGTCAGTGCGCTAGTCTAAGAAGTCAACATTAAGTAAATGATCACCACAACTCAGCATGGCTGAGTAACTGCGTCTGCTTTAGAGTCAGCCTTAATAAATAACGTCTAATGCATTCAGTGGCAGTCTCCACAGACATTCCCTGTACAGTGTGTAGGTTTGTTATGAGTTTCTGAAAATATGTGATGGGTGGGGGTTTTTTTTTCCTTACCGGCTCTGAAAATAAGCTAAAACTAAGTGTGCGTTAGATTTCTGTTATTCTTATCTTCAGTAGCCCTCCTGCTTGAGGGCTACATGTTCACTTTGGCTTTGTAACAGATAAAACACCAGACAGTCAATTAAAAGGCATTTTAGTGATGACGTGACATATTTAAGGTTTATTTGTTCCTCCTAGTTCTTAGTTTTACTGCAGATGTGCCAAAATCTACATTGATCCTCCATTAAAAGTAGTGCCTTGAGCTTTTAGTTTGTTAACTTGGAGAGGGAAATGGTGATGAGAGACAGCAGCGTAAGAGGATTGAGTCGTAATCACATTGGTTAATATGAACAATTACAAATATATATTCAAAGCGTAGCTTCAAGAAGATGTTAGTAAAAATATCAAAGGCACAGTCAGAAACAGAAGGAAGAGGGAAGTTTAGAGTGAATGAGTACAGATGAGGAATGGAGAGGTCTAACTCGAGGTTTCATGGTGATTCACGGAGCCATGCTCAGATTTTTAGTTCTCCGTTTGTATACTGATGCAGGCTACTAGCAGTC